TATTTCTCCTATAAGTTGAAAAATGGTTCGTAACCCCTGTACATCACAAAATAGCGATTCTGCAATTTCCAGTTTTTTTCTCAGTTTTCATTCGCTCATATCTCCTTCGTTTCTCAACCAAATTGAGTACCGTTTGTTTCTAAATTCACATTGAAATGTCCTCTATCAATATCAAGTAACCAATCATTGAGATATCACGGTCACACAATGAAAACGAGAGTACACAGAAGCAACTCAAGCCACTCACCTTGTTCTTGAGCTTTGGTGAGCTTTGCCCGAGTTTTGGTGAGCTCCCTGTGGCTCCACACGACGTGAGAAGCTCCAAGTCACGTCTGGGCACGTCCCTCTTGGTCTCCCCGAGCTCCTTTCTCTCCCTTTCTTCTCTTTTCCCTCCCTTTCTCTCTCTTTCTCCTCTCTCCTCTGTTTTGTCTGAAATGGCTATGTGTGGAGGTTGAGGGAGATGTTTGTGGGCGACGGGGAAGCTTCAGAGAAAGGAGACAGCTCTAGGGGATAGGTGGGACTCCTAGGAATGGCGGCTAGTCGAGTTTTCCACGCGTGGGGCTCATTTGGTTCCGGAAAAATCGGGTCAAAGTTGCTGCCGACACATGTGGGGAAGGCTGTTTTCTCCGGTCCGCCTGACCAAGATTCTGGTCCGCCGGACCGGGACTGCCCAACTCACTTCCCGCGCCCTTTTGGTCCGTCCGTGCCCGTTTGGTCCGTCTGAGTGGTCCTGGTCAGCCCCTGACCAACCTTGGTCCGGCTGACCAAGTCCACATTCCTTCTTTTCTTCTTCTTGGTCCGTTCACCAAGCCCAGTCCGTCTGAGTGGTCTTGGTCAGCCCCTGACCAGCCTTGGTCCGGCTGACCAAGTCCACATTATTATTATTATTTTTTTTTTTCGTTTCCTTCGTTCTTTCTCGATCCTTTCCGCACGTGACGATCTCCGTACCTCTTCTCGGCATTGTACTACTAAATTTTGGTGATTTGTGATATTTCTATTTAATTATTCATTTCTAAATAATTAAATATTCGAATTGGGTTTCGGGGTATTACAAATCCTCCCCCCTTAAAAAGTTCGTCCTCGAATTCAGAATTGCATGATAGCATTAACACTTTCTCGTACTCGATGTTATCACCAAAACACAATCCATGTCGTCACGTCATCCGAAGCATAAGTCTGATACAAACCGAACGTCATATCTAAAGGAGTTCGTACAACGCTGCAGTAAATAGATGCGGATAACTACTACGCATCTCTGCCTCGGGTTCCCAAGTCATGTCAGAGACCCCTTGGCTTCGCCACAAGACCTTCACGAGTGGCACGTCCTTCGTTCGCAGTTTCTTGATCTTCCGGTCCACGATCTGCAGCAGCTCGTCACGGAAACGCGTAGCCTCCGTGAACTCCAACTCCTGGGGCTGTAGCACGTTAGAGGGATCTGCCACGTACCTCCGTAGCATCGACACATGGAACACGTCATGAATGTTGCCCAGCTCCGGCGAAATCCAGGACGGTATGCAATAGCTCCCACTCTCGCGATCACGGGATAAGGTCCGACGTAGCGCGACTTCAGCTTCACGCTCTGCCCGAACCTCGCATGGCCCCGCATCGCCTGCACTCGGAGAAAGGCTTAATCCCCGACCTCAAGCTCGAAGTCTCGACGTCACTAATCGGCATATGACTTCTGTCCGTCCTGCGCCGTCTTCAGATGGGCGCGGATCCTCCGTATCACTCCCGTAGTCTCCTCTATTTCGATCTCTGTCCAGCACAACAGAGCCTTGCACGGTCTCCCATACAAGGCCTCGTATGGAGACACTCTGATTCTCGTGTGATGGCTGTTGTTGTACGCAAACTCGCACAACGTCAAGTACCGATCCCCCGGAGCTCCACACTTCATAATACAAGCTCTAAGCATGTCCTCCAGAGTATGTATCGTCCGCTCTGATTGGCCGTTTGTTTGGGGATGGTATGACGTGCTCATCTTGAGCTTCGTCCCCAGAGCTTCCTGTATCGCCTTCCATAGACGTGATGTGAATCAGGCGTCTCGGTCTGAGATGATCTCGTTCAGAACCCCATGTAGACGCACGATCTCATTGATGTAAATCTGCGCCAACCGCTCAATCGGAAACTCCTGCCGGATGGAGATGAAATGAGCGGATTTGGTTAGTCGGTCCACGACTACCCAAATGGCGTTCTTCTTGCTGGGCGTGAGCGGTAATCCGACCACGAAGTCCATGGCGATCGAATCCCACGTCCATTCGGGTATCTCCAGTGGTTGTAGTTTCCCTCCAGGCATCTGTCGCTCTGCTTTCACCTACGGTCCATGACTACCCAAATGGCGTTCTTCTTGCTGGGCGTGAGTGGTAATCCGACCACGAAGTCCATGGCGATCGAATCCCACTTCCATTCGGGTATCTCCAGTGGTTGTAGCTTCCCTCCAGGCATCTGTCGCTCTACTTTCACCTGTTGGCAGGTGAGGCATCTCGCTACGTAGTCCGCCACATCCCTCTTGACCCTTGGCCAAGTATACCACTGTCGTAGACCCTGATACATCTTGCTCGCCCCCGGATGTATCGCCAACCTCGACTGATGAGCCTCTGACAAAATCCCCTATCTCAGCTCTAGATCATCGGGCACACATAGTCGGTTCCCAAGTCGCAACGCGCCCTGCTCGTCGATGCGGTAACCCTTCAGGCTATATTCCTCAATGCGATCCATGTATTGAGCGAGTAATGGAACACCGCGCTGTCCCCTGATCACGCGTTCTATCAGAGTCGGTGTCGACTCCTCTGCCGTCAACGAGAGATGTCCCAACATCGCAGTAAACTCAGCGGCATAGTTGCGAGATGAGGTGACAACGCGTATGGCGGCTAAGATCTTCTTCCTGCTAGAGCGTCGGCCACTACGTTAGCCTTCCCCGGATGGTAGGCTATCTCCAGATCGTAATCTGCAATCAGCTCCAATCATCTCCGCTGTCTCAGATTCAGATCCTTCTGAGATATTACATAAGTCAAGCTCTTGTGATCTGTGTTGAGCTTAACTTTCTCTCCGTACAGATACGATCTCCAGATTTTTAGTGCGTGAACTACCGGGCCTCTGGGAGATATAATTGGGCCAAATGCCCGGTGAACTTCCAGATTATAAAAAAAAAAATGCATATCTTATGGTTATAGATAATATATACATATTCATATACCACCTACAAAAATCACTTGATATCCATTATAATATACATGATCCACCGATGATGTTTTTTTTTTAAATACTTAAACCGAATTTTATCGTCGTTAAAATTTCAATAGTAAACGTATAGAATAATATAAAAAAAATGTGTGAACGTGGCAAAGGAAGTTCTTTAAACTCTTTGTGGCTCCCCACGACGACATGCAGTTTTTACTTTACGCCAAAGGTCAAATCCTTTGGGGACAGTCAGACACCTCAAGACCAACTTCTGTCTTCAACCCTATTTTTTTTTCTCCTCTCTGTTCCCTTTGGAATTTTTAAACAAATTTCTTCCAATAAGCTCAATATAGGTTGTAAAATTAAATTTAAATGTAGGAAATTATATTGTATGACAAATCTAATCAATAATCTCGATATACATTCAAGTTTTACGATATATATATATATATATATATATATATATATATATGTGTGTATATAAAGAAGAGAGAGTGTTACCGAGTGCGTACGGCACAGACAAGAGGAACAGGCTTTCTCCATAATTATCTCGAAGTCTCGTGTAGCTTCGACACCTGTTTTATCATGCTATGTTTAATTTCTCTTACTTTTAATTCTTATGTTAACCGCATAAAGTGTAATAATAGTAAAATAAATTATTAGTGTTATAATATTTGCTTCATTTTTTATTTTTAAACTCTTATAGGTCAAATTTCATTCAAAATCCGTAGAACTGAGCTTTTGACCCATCTCTTGCCTCCTAAATTTCTTTGCCTTTTAGGGCTAAAAATACGTCTTTCATGAAAATATACCATAGTTAGAAAAAAAAACAAAAGCTATACCAACACACTTTTTTTTTAATTATTTGATAGGTAATGGTGGGTAAATATATTATTAGTACCCAAAGCTGGCCTACGGAAGGGATGATACAACATACAAAGCATGCTCTCTTAAATCCAAGCGTGGAGAGAAATATTCACCTGGATTTCTCCGTCTAGAAGATGTAGTCGAAACAAAGGTTCGGTGAACTTTCGCATTATCAAAAAAAATATTATTAGTAAAAAAATGAAGGAAATTAAGAATATATTAAGATAAATCACGAAGATGTTTTAGTTTAAAATTTAAACCATCATATATTTCTTTGATCCGTCATAAAAAAAATAGCACCATTGATACCTTCACCCCAAAAATAATTCAGTTTTTATATTTGGTAAACTTAATAAATTTCGTGACCCAAAAAAAACGATAGGGAATTTCCTAAGGATGAAAGATCTGCATCAAGTGGGCCCACTATCAGTGGGTGCCGCCAATATGTTAATACCACGTGGCAAACACAACATGTAGGACCCAACTCCACATAAGCAAATATACGAGCGCCCCCACATAGGGATGTCAAATGAGCCGGCTCGGACCAGCTCGGACCACCTCGTTTCGAACCAACTCATTTTCAGCCCATCTCGTTAAGCCCATTTTTATTTGGATTAGAAAATTCCTGGCTCAGCCCAAATCGCTTAGCTCGCGAGCCGGCTCCCGAACCGGCTCATATTTTTCTAAATACCTAAAAAAAATCATATCAAATTATATAAAATTATATCCAAATGATATATCAACATAAAAAGAACATACCAATATATCCAAATCATACTTATATTCACAATCACAATCCATATACAAAAAATCATTTTCAAATAGATAAAATCATAATCCATCCATTTACAAAAAACCATTTTCAGATCTTAATCCATCCATATACAATTAGATCTTAATCCATGTACAAAAAACTATAATCAGATCCGAATCTATACATAAAAAATTATTTCCAAATCAAAATATTATACCAACAATATCAACACTTTCAAGTTTCAACATAATTTTTTTTTTACTCCAGCTCCCGAGCAAGCTCACGAGCCAGCCGCGCTAGCTCGTTTGGGCTCGGCTCGTGCGGAGCTGGCTCACTCAGGCCATTTTTATTTGGGTTCAGATATTCTTG